GAAGGCCTAGGGGGAAGCCTTCACACATGAACTTCCTGTCCCAGCTTCCTTCATATTCCCAGGCGGGCCGAAGTTCCCTTTACTGCCTCGGCAGGAGGAAGGTTTTTCTCCTTGCCCACCAGTCGCCTAGCAGGTGAGACACCCGTCACCCTCCTGGACTCTGGCTCAAGGCGGTTCCCCCTTGCTACCTCCTCTTCCCTCTGTAACGTTCCTCTCCTTTGTCCTCTAGGCTCTGCCCGTGGTTTGCCGGCACTCGTGTGTCCCAAATTGCAATTCTGCTATTCCTGAACAAACTCATTTTGCTGGTAAAATAACTCGCGGTTTTATTTTTAAGATTAACAGATGGAATGTTCTATAAATGTCTGTGAAGTCCATCTGGTCCAATGTGTTGTGTAAGTCCAGTGTTTCCCTATTGATTTTGTCTGGATGATCTCTCCATTGTTGAAAACGGGGTACTGAGGTCCCCTCCTGTGACGGTATCACTGTCTAGTTCTCCCTGGAGGTCTGTTAAGATTTGCTTTATATGTTGACGTGCTCTGATGTTGAATGCATCAGTATTTACAAATGCTCTATTTTTGGATGAATTTACCTTTTTACTATTATCTGGTGAATTTGTCTCCTGTGACCGTTTTTGTTGTAAAGTCTATTTTGTCTGATACCCTATTTTTTGTCTGATACAGTTACCCTTGCTGTGTTTTGGTGCTTTGCATGGAATACCTCTCCCCATTCCTTCACTTCTGGTCTGGGGTGTCCTTAAAGCTAAAGTGTTTTGTACGCAGCCTATTTATGGATCGTTCGTTTTTTTTATCCGTTCAGCCACTCTGTCTTTTGACTGGAGAATTGGGTCCATTTACATTTAATTATGATACATACGAAATTACCATCACCATTTTGTGGTTTTCTGGGTTTTTGTTTTTACTTTTTAAAAATGTTTATTTTTGAGAAAGAGACAGAGCATGAGCAGGGGAGAGAGAGGGAGACACAGAATCTGAAGCAGGCTCCAGGCTCCAGGGTCCGAGCTGTCAGCACAGAGCCCGACACAGGGCTCGAACTCACTAGCCGTGAGATCATGACCTGAGCTGAAGTCAGACACTTAACAAACTTGAGCCACCAGGGGCCCCTAATTAGAAATTAGGTTTTCTAATTCCTTTGTTTCTTCCTCTTGTTCTCCTCCTTTGTATTGATGATTTTAAAAAGTTTTTTTTTTTTTTTTTTTTTTAATGTTTATCTTTGAGAGAGCAAGAGAGTGAGCACACGCATGCGAGCAGGAGAGGGGCAGAGAGAGAGGGAGACCCAGAATCCAAAGCAGGCTCCAGGCTCTGAGCTGTCTGGACAGTGCCCGACATGGGGCGCAAACTCCAGAACAGTGAGATCATGACCAGAGCCGAAGTCGGATGATTTTCAGTAGTGACATGCTTAGGGTTCATCTTCTGTGTATCTTCTCCAGGTTTTTGCTTTGTGGTTACCAAGGAGCTTACATAAAATATATGTTTAACAGTCTTTTTAAGCTCCTAACAACTTACCTGCGAATATACATAAATGCTCTGCATTCATACACTCTCCCGGCCACATTTTTTTTTTAAGTGGCCTCCAAGCCCAACATGGGGCTCAAATTCGCCACCCTGAGATCAAGAGATGTTCTACCGACTGAGGCAGCCAGGAGCCCTTCCCCACCCCCGTGTTCAGTTTTTGATACACATTAGCAAATTATCATATAGTTCTGCTTAATACTTTTGTCTCTTAATCTTCACCCTAGTGTTGTGACTTACCCAATACCATGCAACATTACAGCATTCTGAACTTAAGTGTATGTTTACCTTTACCAGTAAGTTTTAGAGTTTGATGTGTTTTCCTGTTGCTAATTAGCATATTTTCATTTCCGCTTGAAGAACTCCCTGTAACCTGGAAGGCTGGTCGAGTGGTGCTCAGCTCCTTTACCTCTTGTCCACTAACCTTTCTCTCGCCTTCAGTTCCAAAGGACAACATTGCAGGTACAGTGTTCCTGGTGAACTCCATTGATAGCCTTGTTGGGTTTCTCCTGTATGTTACAAGGTTTTCTTTACCTGCTTTAAGACTCTCTAACTTTGACAATTCAGTTATAATACGACTTGGTGTGCGTTTCTTTAGATTGATACTTTTTGGAACCCTTCAGGCTTCCTGGCTCTCTGACAGGATTAATTACAGTGGCCTATCTTCCAAGTTGGCTGATCCTTTCTTCTGCTTGATCTAGTCTGCTATTGAACCCCTCTACTGAAATTTTTAGTAGTTATTATTGCGTTCAGCTGTATACTTTTTAATATTTTCTCTTTGTTGAAATTTTCAGTTTGTTGTTCTGACCTCTGAGCATCTGTATAACTTAATTTGAACCCTCAGGTAAATCACTTTAAGGTCTGTTTCTGGAGCTTTATTCTTTTTATTTTTTATGCTTATTTTTTGAGAGAGTATGAGCCAGGGGAAGGGCAGAGAGAGGGAGAGACAGATGGGAAGCAGGCTCCAGGCTCTGGACTGTCAGCACAGAGCCCAACATGGGGCTCAAACTCCCGATCCCTGAGGTCATGACCTGGACCGAAAGTCAGACCCTTAACTAACCCACCCAGGTGCCCCAAAAGATGCAATGCACCTTTTCAGATGGCTTTATCATCTAGAAGGTCTCTCGGTGCATGCTGTGCAATGTGGGAACGCCTCTGTAGGCTTCCCTGATCCTACCTGGACAAGACCCTCGGAATGCATCTCTTCACACCTGCCCCAGGTAGGTAAAGTTTAAATATCAAATCAGTGAGGAAGGCTGGGACACAGTTGGGAACAAAGGACTTTGCCAAACCTGACTTCGCTCTATTTGTGCATTTGTTTCCTCGAAACTTTCTGTAGTGTTATTCATCCCTAACCGTCATTTTGAAATTTTGCTGCAACATCCCAGCCCCAAGGGGCTCTGTGCTAGCTAGAGAAAGATGTCATGCTGTAGGAAAAGATACTAGTAAAGCGGAGTGTCTGCTTTTAAAGCTTGTTCAGTTATTTAAAGAGAGGGGGAGAGAGAATCCCCAGTAGGCTCTGCAAGAGCAGCACAAAGCCCAACGTGGGGTCAGATTCATGAGCTGTGAGATCATGACCTGAGCCAAAGTTGAGTCAGATGCCTCAGGTGCCCTAGTTGCCATTTATTTGATGGACTTCAATTGTGGCTTTATTTTCATCTCTTACAAGTCCCGTTGCAAAAGGTAAAACTAGAGAAATGAAAAATTGGTACTCTGCCTCTGCGAGGTTCCAATAGTTTGGGGTAGGATTACGGTCCATAATCAAGAGACTGCATGCGATCTTATCTAGATGGGAGTCACACACAGCTTATTATTCAGGGGACTCCTGTAACAGTTGCACAAATGCCACCAAACATAAGTAGTGGGACAGCATCCTAACTGGGCCCCTGACTGTTCTTCTGCAGAGCCTGGAGGAAGGGCCATGACCTGAGGGGCCGCATCACTGAGAAAGGCAATGTCTCCATAAATGGACAAGAGCCGATGCTTCGAAAGGTCAGGTGAAGACAATCCAACCGGAGACTCCTGCAAGCAGGTAAGTGGTTGAAACAGTCAGAGAGAGTAACTGTTGCATTGCGATCTTTTACTATTCCTCAATAGGTCATCTTTCAGTAGACTTTTATACCTTGGGTTTGTAAAGGAGCCCACAGTTACGCGGACCTTTAGGAAGGATCGTCGCTGTTTTGTTTTTACTTTCCCCAGGCCTACACTTCGTATTAATCCCATACCGATAATTGCTTTCACTTGGTCACGGCTCTAGAGCTGTTGGAAGCATTTTCTTTTAAACGCGATCTCCACGCACATGTGAACGCTCAATTATGCGTGCTGTTTAAAAACGAAAAAGAGAAATGATCTATAGACACAGAAAGATCGTATTTATGTATGGTAAAAAGGCAAGTGAGTGAAGCTATACTTTTATTGCATTACTCTTAGTACATCCACAACTATTTCCACCTAAATAGATCCTTAAAATAAGCATACACAAGTATTGACTATTATCTACAAATATTTATTGTAACACTTGAATAGAACTACAGGAAGCCCTTGGCACGGATAGAAAATATTGATTCACTGTTAGGTTACAAAAATTTATACATAGCAAAATTTAATGCTCTTTACATAAAAAATATTAGACTACTTCAACAAAACTTTCAAAAATTCCTGGTAACAGCTACCAGAATTAGAAAAGTAAAATTAGGCTTTAGACACGGCCTCTTCTAGAACACTGGACTCTAACAGCACCTCCACTGCTGGAAAAAAAAATATTGAAGTCTGTCATGCAACAGGAGAACAGAACAAGCTATTCTGGAACAACTGATCTACGTAGAAGAGAGCTTCTCCCAATTAAAAAAAAAAAAAAAAGATCCAAATAGGCATTTTTAGGCATTAACAACAACAACAAAACGAATCCAAATGAAATCTTATCCTTGATGTTCAATTTTAATAGCATCTTGATAAAGGTATGCTTCCTTTCGTATGCTTCCTTTCATCTGAAGACGTTTCTGCACACGTGTAGGTTTTAAAATCCAGGGAACAGCCAAACCACAAGTTAATTCTTAACATGAATATACAGAGTTAATCCTATATTATGCAGCCCCTTTTAAAAGCACGGATGCACCCAACGGTTATATGTATCATTTCCTAAAGAGCAACACAAAAGTTTACCGTCACGAATACCCAATACCTCTAATCACGTAATGTTCTGGAACAGAATGACCGAGGAGGCAAGTTTCTTTTGAAAATGGCTTAAACTCAAGAAGGTGGTTTTTTTTTTTTTTTTTTTTTTTTTTTTTTTTTTTTTTTTTTTTTTTTTTTTTTTTTTAGGAACTAAATACCAACCCTAATTCAAACTACTGAAGTATTCAAGTCTAGAAAAGTAGGAGGTCTGTGGTCTCTTTGTAATTCGGTCTTATTTATAGTTGGNAGAATGACCGAGGAGGCAAGTTTCTTTTGAAAATGGCTTAAACTAAAGAATTTTTTTTTTTTTTTTTTTTTTTTTTTTTGCTGAACATCGAACTTTTTTTTATTATTCCAGGAAAGATTTAGATTTAAAAAGGAACTAAATACCAACCCTAATTCAAACTACTGAAGTATTCAAGTCTAGAAAAGTAGGAGGTCTGTGGTCTCTTTGTAATTCGGTCTTATTTATAGTTGGTGTGAAGCTGTAAACTTGCTATTCAGACCACGTAAAAATGGTTTAGACTGGTGGTCATTTTAATAAGGTAACACTTCTTAATTAAGAAAACATTGGTGGAACCAAGGTCGATGAGGGATTTGGGGTGTCCTGTTGTAAAATAAGCTCTTAGAAATTTAAAAGATACTCATTAAGGCAGAGCTGACATTGATTTCCCAGGAACAAGTGGGCCGCTGGATTAAAGGGAAGCTATTATCAAATTGACTTTGGAAAGCTTGTCAATGCGCCACAATCCAGCTTCTTCAATGGCAGGTGTAGCCGAATTATAGTATTGGCATTAGTGAAAAATCGATTTCTGATTGGATCAGGAGATGAAAGTGTCCTGGGCCTAAAGGGTAGGGAAGTCAGCAAATTAAAAAAAAAAAAAAAAAAAAATTATTAAGACTCACATGATCTTTGAGCCAAAGTTTAATAGATGTCAGCACTGGAGCATGACAGCCACTGCACTCGATTCCCTCCACAGGGCACTCGGCGGGCAGAGGGCGTACGTGAATGGACAGTCACCTCGCTTCATGCCGGCGGTCCCGCTCAAGCAGTATGCCGCATGCCCCTGGCCTCTCACGGGAGGCTCGCTCTACTGCTGAATGTGAACAGGCCCCAAACCTCAGAGAGCTGAACAATCATTTTGTCAAAGTGTTGCCCTTTAAAATGGCTCACGTGAAGCCTCTGGTATCTGCTGTAAAGAAAAAGTTTGCCCTCCTGGAAGGTGCTCCTAGAACTCCCTGCCAGCAGGTTGAGACAGACAGTGAAGGGTTTGTACCTCTATGTGGGGGGAGGGGGGGAGGGGGGACACCTCGGGACGGCAGAGCCGCTGTCTGCAGATTTGGCAGAGCTGTCACTGTGGCGGCGGTAACACTCTGGCAAACGTTTATGTGTAAGAATTGAGTTGTTCTTTTGACCGGGCCTGGATATCCTGCAGCTCTTGCTCTTCCTTTGCTTTGATATCCTGGTAAGCCTGCATTTTGCTGGCGTCCTTTAAGTAAGCCCAGTTAGAAGACAGTATCATGAGGAAGTGGATCTGGAAAAGAAGGGTGAGCATGAGGGCTAGTGAGCACGGCAGAAGGGAAAGCGAGCTGTGAGGCAGGTTAGACGCTCTTAGCTGTAAAAAGGGAGAGGGTTATTCTGCATGAATTCTCGTTCTGCGAGCAGAGCCGGAAGCAAGCTCCACTAGAAGGCTGGAGCGAAGTTAGTACACACACGTGATGAACTGGAAAAAATGGCCCAGGTTACTGTTAAAAAGCAAACGCAAACTAGGAGAGAGTGTGGTTTTGTCGGTTACCCTTGAGGGAGTCATTTAAAAACAAAAACAGAAACGCGGACGTTCAGAAACACGCTGTGTGCGGAGTTTAAAGTAAGGGCCGGGCAAAGATCTAGCTTTTCTGTGGATGAAAATCGATTCCCCAGAGGCCTAAAAGCGAACGATATTTATTTCGAGTGAATGAGAAACTACACATTTAACACGGAGAACTCAAGTGAATGTCAAAACCAGAATTAGGAACTCTAAGCAAACAAGCAGGCAGTCTGGGTTAACACATTTTGAGGAGGGAAACTACCTTTTCTGTTGCATCACTGCCATGACTGCATTTCACAGAACGGAAACGTCCTTATTCTTTACAGCTGACGTGGCAAACACTTCTTTCCCGCCTATTTTCCTGGTCTTTCCTGCAACATCTACACCCCGAGTTCCTCATCTCTCCTGTTCAACACAGTGGAGGCTTTCCGACTGCAGGCACGATTTCTCTTCCCCTTACAATCTTACGTGCGGTTTAAGAGCTGGCTATGCGGAATCGGTCACTACTCACCAAAACACAGGGGAAGGTGGCCCATTCTGTGGCTCTGAAAGGGAGGGTCATGGTGTGCAGAAAGGAGCAACCCCCTCCCCCCACACACACATAGAAATCTTGGTCTCAGAGAAAGCAGCGGGCTGGGCTTTACTTTTCTTCACGCTGTCCTCTAGCTGACTTACTTGAGGGGCATGTATGGGGCCGTGAACCAGGTAATCAGAAAAAAAATTTTGTAATCAATGTAAAATAGGTCTTTTTTCTCCCCAGAGTCTAACAAAACAGAATGCAGATCAAAACCGATCTCTCCTCCATCTTCTTTTGAGCACTGCTGCTACGGGTTACGAAGCCAGCAAAAATAACGGACAATGCAGGTGTGACAACGTGTTAATACTTCATTTAGAGATACCGCTCAAAGGTCAAGAAAATTATTATTTTTTTTAACAGATGCTCACGCCATGCCAGTAAAGAACTGAATCCTTTTCAAAACGTGGAAATAAGCCAGATCTCATCGTTTCTGTAATTCACTTCCGGTAAGTCATCTCATTAATCTACAATGCAAGGTGAGTTGACTAAAGCTATTTACAAATTACTGTACCACGACGGTAGCAACCTAGACTCTGCGTTCGTCTGGGAGGGGTCGGGGTGGGGGGCGGTCAGGGCTATTTCAGGCTACCGGGTTGAGCTCGCTAAAGCTCCTTGTTGGCCTTATGCAATTTAGAATTTAGTGCAGCAATCTTCCCGACTCTTAAACTTCAAAACCGCATAGTTATAGGTAGTAGCCATCATGTAGATCAGCTGGTGAAAGAGAACAAACAGGACAGTGAGATGCAGGCAATCAGGGCTGGTGCCCGCTCAGCCCCAAGGGCTTTCTGGGTCCCCCACCTTTCAGCACACGGGTTTGCCTACGGCGCACACGCACTTTTTCTCACGTGCTCTACACACCACTGGTCCTCGCCTCTGCCCTCAGTACCTTGATGACCAAAACTGGGAGGTGTCTAAACAGTTACTAGAGAGCGGGGTCCGCAGCCTGCGACTGGAAGCTAAAGGCCCCCTTTCACCTCGCCTTCCCCCAGCTGCCTACTCAGCACCAATGAGTCACCTCTACAAGAGACCAGGGTGCCAGCATGCTATCACAGGCTGTTCTTCTCAGGACCTCTAAAGAGCACAGGTTATTTCCCTCCTGTCCCCCTGCCCCCAAGTCTTAGATTTCTTAAGATCACAAAAGCAAGCCCTCCCAAATTACACCCATATCTGCAGACATAAACCTCCACGTGCAATACAGTTGACCCCCCCCCCACCAATATTTGCAGGTTCCCTATTTGCAAATCTCCCTGCCTGCTCAAGTTAGGCTGTAGCCCCCCAAATCACTGCTGGTGGCACGGTCACCGGCGGGCCTGCCGCACCGTGGGGGCGACGTGGTCTCCCACACTGCTTCCCCGGTTGGGACCCGTACACGGGTGTCCTTCCTGCAGTCGAATTAGGGCTGTGGGTTTCGGGGCTTTTTGTGATTTTTGCTCTTCAAATGTTTCCTAACCGTAGCACTGAACGAAGTGCTCTCGAAAGTCTCTGGCCAGCACGAGGGCCCGGAGGTGCCACACGAGCTTCATCCCGGGAGGAGCTGTACTGCTGGGGGCCCGGGGTAATGAAGCAGCAGGAGGTACTAACTCACAGTCCTTAGACAGAAACCCCTAAAGCAAGGCCACATGTTGACCAGTTAGGCGAAAAAGGGCGGGACCAGGGCCTCCCTGTTTAAGGTACGTGCACGGATGTGTATGCATACATGTTTCTGGTTGGAAATGAACCTTTCTTGGCAAAGTAATCGGTAAATGCCGATTCTGTCCGTGACTGAAGCCATGAAAGGAAGGGGCTGATGAAGGTGCAAGCCCGCCCCCGGCCAGCCCAGGCTAACAGCTGCGTTGTTCCCACAGAAGCCAAACTCCACTACCCGCCTGCACTCTGGCCGGGTGGCGACACGTAGCCAAGGTGGCGTCCCCGAGGTGTCTGCCTGAAGGGAAAGCAGGGAGCAAGTCGCGGCCGGCCCGGGGCCGATACTCACCAGGGCGATGACGGTGGCCCCGGCTCCCGCGCAGGCGACGATGAACAGGTGATAGGACACGTAGAACTAGGAGAGAACAGGGCAGCGTGTGATGCTCTAGGTGGAAGGATGGGGCCTCACCCGTTCCTCCCCCGCGACAGGCCGGTGCCGCGTCACAGCCCAGCCAGGCCGTGCCCTACACCTGTGACATCTTGGTAGCTGGGGGCTGGGCCACAGCGGGGAGGCACGAGTAGGAGCCCCTAACTCTCCCTGCCTTCCAGAAGCATGCTAGCAGTCTCGGAAATGTGCACGCTTCCTCCAGCGCGTTTAACAATGTTCTTTTATAGACAGTTATAAACCAATGCCTGAAGAATCTTCTGAGGTCCGATTTTAAACCAAAGCGTGTTAGGATTTACTGCCAATGAAGGCTGAACGCGAAATAGCGAACCAGTGATGAACTGACTAGATGAATAGAAATTGGGCTTAGATAGTTTCAAGGGAAGCATTTCGATGAAGGTTAATTTGCATTTGGTCTGTGATAAATGTCCTAATTTGAAAAACTATGTGAAGGTGAAAGAAGAATCTAACATGAATTTTCAGATGTGCGGGACTCACATTATTGCCCAAAGAGAAAGCTCTCGGCCCATTTCACACGGTCTAGCCCATTTAGTGAGGCTCCTTAGCATTTTCTAGGTCCCAGATGGGCAAGTTCCGGTGATTATGTACCATGCACTCAACAAGATTTCCTTCCTAGCGTTTGCACCACGTTTTGCTCTGTCTAGGGAGGAGAGCAGAGCCCTTTCCTCAGCCTGCTTGGCCAAGTGACCGGCTCTACGCCCCGTGGTGGGAGAAGGGTTTACCTCGTTGGTGTTGCAGATGTTCTCCAGGGCAGAGCCACAGATTCTTCCTGGGAAAGCGTTCCAAGGGATGATCCCTGGGAAGTGAATCCACACACGACGTTAAGTTACCAGCACGCACGGCAGTGGCGGGCTCTCGATGGTTCTCACCCCTTGGGTTCCAGTTACAAGGGACTCACACGCTTTCTTCTTCACGGACGCTTGGCCTGTCTGCGCTCTGCAGACCCGGCTTTTTAGAATCAATAATGAGTCCTCCTTGGACAGGAGGACCAGAGCAAAGTCAAGTAGTCTGTTAGAGACTTAAACCTGAATTTGTTTTTCCTCCAGATTATGCTTTGTTTAGTTGGGCCGATATCTGTAAAGACTCATGTTCAAAGCTGTCTGCCCTAGTACGCATTTGTGACCTCTAAACAGCTGGAGGACAGCCCCCCTTGTAGAGCACTTCCTGGTCCCTGGACTTGCTACTCAAGTCCCGAAGTGGAGAGTCTGTACACAGAGTTTCAAGGCAATTACTTACTATGGAATTTGGATTTAGTAGGTCTTTTATATTCATCTACCATGTGCCTCTCACTATACCCTTGATTCCTCTCTGCCATAACCTGGCCCATTGGGTTGCTCTTCTGTTCGCGATCCTGTAGCAGGTGTGTGCTTTTTAAAGAGAGCCTACGGCTCACGTTACGCTTCTCCCAGGAGGTAAGGAAGGATTTTTTTTTTTAAGTTGCTTATGTCTTCCATCCGTGCCCAAGGGGAAGGGGAAAAGACAGGTCCCCACAGCGTCTGTGAAACCAGCGATTTCAAATATAGAAGACTGAAAAATATGATGGCTGATGGCCAACAATTCATAGTGAAAATATTTAATAAGGACATGATAGACATCTAGACATTTACAAATAGTGTAAAAACCATCTTTACGCCCTGATTTCAAACCCTGGGCAAGATGATAAAAGAGCAGTCCCAGGGGCAGTTCTGGGCAAGTTTCTCATTATGTTGTAAGATAAGACATGGAAGGCCAGCCCCATGGGAAAAACAAGAAGCACAAACAACACAGTCCTCTCTCCCCCGAAATCTTCCCTTCACTTTTAATGAAAAGTTCTTTCCCCCCCACCTCACTGTTTCTGCCAGCAACAGGATTTCCTACCATCTTGGCTAAGGCACTAATTAAACTCCCTATTGAGGAGGCCGCCTCTCAATTTAGTTGACAGGAGCAGCAAGGGCCCCTTCTGGGGCTTGGCAAAAGGAACCAGCCTTAGCGGCCTGTGGGGAGGATCCCATTCATTAGAAAACAGGCTTAAAGGGGTTTCCAAAGAGCCGGCTTTTATAGCGTGCAGTCTGATGACTTTCCGCTATGGCTGGAGTTTGTTGTTTTCCAGTACAGATAAAGTTTAGTCATTGTTAGAAGACCGGATCTGAAGAGTGGGACAGGGCAATTAATTGGACTCCAGTGTCTCTGCAATATTTTGGATGGAAAGTGGAGCAGTACAAAACTGAAAAGAACTGGAAAAACAAGTCTGGGGGCTTGGGGATCATAACACACAATTCAAAACGTTTCCTTCGCTACGTAACCAAAATCTGAATTACAACTAAGAGCCTCAGTGAGGTTTCCCTCCAGAAAACAGAGCGTAAGTGAAGAATGTACACTCTCCCAAGAGAAGAATGTATGAAACCGATCACGATGATTCAGGACACAGCCCTGTAACAATTCAGGTCCAGGCGTGTGCACAAGGACAAAGGTGTTGGGGGGGGTCACAAGGAAGTACCGTATTGCCGGATATCCACGCAGATCTGCTCCACACCCGCGGTGCCGTTGGTCTGGGGGGACTTGATGACTTCACAGGTTGACCATATGTTATAGAACATAAACACCGGCACCGCAGAGAAGCCAAACACGCCGAGCCAGGCCACTCCCAACACGTAGGTGAGGAAAACGAACTGAGGCAAAAAAGGAGAAAGAATCATCAGCGCTCTGGGCCACGTGCAGCCCCTGGAAAGAACGCTCTCATAGTTCTGGCCAGATAGCGGACCGGTGGGACGCACTCACGGCGCCACCGGAGCGACAAGGCAAAGTGACAAAGGAGAAGCGAGGGCTGGGGCAGGGTGTTCGTGCTCTCCAGGGCTACAGCATGGAGGATGTACTGCCACTGCGGGGACTCTGCAGGGCCCTCTCTTCACTAACTGGGACGTGCTCTCCCTCGTGCAAGGTTACAGAGCCGATCGGAGCAGCAGGGAGGAGGCCGTCCCTAAGTGTCCGGTCCACACTTGCCAGGGTAGGGGGGCGGAGGCGGTCACAGGCCACTAGAACCTTGCCTTTATTTCACACAACATATGGGCCGTCACCAACCTGTGCTACAGGAAGCCCTTTCTCAAAAGGAACCGCGCTAATTTCAAGATCCTGCGAAACTGCTCAAAGCGTGAAGTGTTTGAACCTTTATAAGAGCCTTGAACACAAGCTTCATGCACAGCGGAAGACAGAATTCTCACTTTCCTCAACTTTTCTTTGTCGTTAGGATTCAGGGCGCAGAGCAGTGGTTGAGGGGAAGATCTTCCGTCGTGTCCCCCCACACGTCGCCATGGACAATTTCAGCAGGACTATAATCCTTCTGCTTTACTTCCTAACCTGCCTTGACTACCGGTTTTCAGAGAACTTTGAAAGGCTGTTCCAAAAACGTCATGGCGTGGTATTCATATTTTCAGAACGCGCACCCACAGAGCTTGTGGGCGATGGTTTGGAATTCTAATTTGGCTTTTATTTTTTTTAAGCCAGTGCTGATGCCCCGAAGCTTCCCTCAAACTTTCGATTCTGCAGGAGAGAGGATGGGGGGGGCGGGAGGGGGTGGGGGAGACAGGCTCCCTCGGGCCGCCTCCTGCTGGGCCCTAGCCCCTGAAAGTGCAGAAATAAGTCACTTTTATTCCAAAGGCATTTATACTGCCGTGAGCATTTGCATTTCTAAAGATACTCGAAGAGGCAGATTTCAGCAGTTTCTGCGCTCTGGAGGGGCTACTGGAGACTGGAAGGGTCAGAAAAGGAAGCCTAAAGAATACTTTCTGCTAACACCGCAAAGACTTGAAAAAGGGCTCGTGGTTCCTGACTCCGTGAACCTTCCAGCGGGGGTCTGCACTCCAAGTCCGGTCATGGCGGCCTTAATAAGCGTTCCGTTGCTTTCTCAGGGCACCAGGCCTTCTAGAGAACAAAGGGCAGTTTCTGCCCCTCGGCTCCCCTTCTGTCCTTACCATGCGGGCTCCAGCTGTCACCAGGCCTCCCTGTCACCTCCGATTTCTTGACATGCTCTAAGGCAGCCTTGAAGGTAGAGTCAGACCCCCAAGGTATTGTGCTGAGGTTCCAGACCACCACAGTAAAGCACCCCACTAAAGCGAGGCACAGTAATTTCCTGGTTCCCCAGTGCATATAAAAGTTACAGTATAGTCTGCTCAGGGCGCAATAGCATTATATCTGAAAAAGGTACCTACCTTAATAAAAAATACTTTTATTGCTTTAAAAGCAAAAAAACAAACAAACAAAAAAAAAGCTCCCCGTCACCTGAGCTTTGTCAGGGCGTCCATCTCCTTGCTGGTGGAGGCTCTTGTCTTGTTGATGGCTGCTGCGGCAATTTCTTCAAATAAGACGACAGTAAGTTTGCTGCAGCGCACGACTCTTCCCTTCACTAACGATTTCTCTCGAGCCTGCAGTGCTGTTTGATAGCCTGTTACCCCCAGAGCGTCTTTCAGAATTGGACTTAATTCTCTCAAAGGCTGCTTGATTCAGAAGCCCTTCTAGTTACCGGCTGCTAACAAAGGAGAGTCAGCTTGTCCTTGGAAGCTGTGAAGCCAGGCACCGACCTCTCCTCTCCTCTCTAGCCATGAGAGTCCTAGGCAGCATCCTCCTCCGGTAGAAGGCTGTTCCATGTACACTGAAAACCCGTCGTTTAGAGGAGCCACCTTCGTGCGGCACCTGAGCTAGATCTTCCGGGTCACTGGCTGCAGCTGCAGCCTCGGCACCGGCGGCCTCGCCTTGCACGTCGGTGTTATGGAGTCGGCCTCTTTCCTCAACCTCATGAACCGGTCTCTGCCAGCTTCCTCACCTCCCTCCGCCTTCACAGAACTGAAGAGCATCAGGGCCTTGCCCTGGATTAGGCTTTGACTTCAGGGAATGCAGTGGCTGGGTTGATCTTCTGTCTACAGCACTGAAACGTTATCACTTGTGTGATCATTTCCTTCAAGAACCTTCCTTGGCATTCACAACTTGGCCGTTGAGGCTGAAAGCTGGGCCTCTTGTGCCAATCTGGGATCTCGACATAGCTTTCTCACTGAGCTTGGTCATTTCTAGCTTTTGACTGAATGTAAGGCATGCAATTCTTCCTTTTCCTTGACCTTTAGCGGCCACTGTAGGGCTAGTAATGGCCCTGATTTCAATAGTGCTGTGGCTCAGGGACTAGGGAGGCTAGAGGAGTAAGATGGGTGTGCGGGGGAGGGGGGGCAGCCAGTTGGTAGAGCAGACGGCACACACACGACCGTCAAGTACCCCATCTTCTATGGGTCATGCGCCCGAAAATAACTGCCCTCGGAAAATCAGAGATTACTGATCACAGACCCCCATGACAAATAAAATGAAAAAGGCGTGAAACAAGGGAGACAGGGGAAAGGCCAGTCGGTGAGGCAGGCGGAACACGTACAAGGCGTATCAGTTAAGTTTGCCTTCTTAGATGGGTGCATTGGTTGCCCCCAAAGCAATGACCATAGCAAACTCGGAGATCACCAAACACGACGTGAAACGAGCCTCTACTTTTGGGAAAATGGCGCCAATAGACTTGCTGGACACAGGATTGCCACAAACCTTCACTCTGAAAGAACAAACCTCACAACAGCTGTGAAACCCAATACAGCAAAGCACGACAAAACGAGGCCTCCCTGCATCCAGAACACCAGGGTGTGAGGTTCCAACTGCGGCCTTGCCGCTTGTTGGACCCAAGCTTCTCTTAAATCTAACATCTAGAACAGAGAAGAGTGAGCCGTGCTGGTTGGCAGGGGGGCCCTGGAGCTTGGCATGGTGGTACAGAAGCCACCGTACACACTCACACCTCGTCCAAGAGAACTGTGTTTCCCTCTCTCCCTGCCCCTCCCCTGTTAACGCGTTCTCTCTCTCTCTCTCTCTCTCTCAGGAATAAACAAAAAAGCCCACTTGAAATGACAATCTGACTTGGGGTATGGAATTGGAGAGGCTCCAGTCACCAGACAACTAACTAGTTCCCACAATGTGTGGTGGGTCTCATTTCAGTAGGTGGTACAAGAACACGGTTTTCTTAACGCCGCCACCGACACTGGAGAGGACGTGGCCGTGGGAGCACGGGCGCATGCACGTTTCTGTCCCAGCACTGAGACACGGATTATGCAAACCGATCCGAAAGGGGCCTGGCAGAGACTGAAAGCGCAAGTGCGCCATTGTTGAGGTCCCACACCCCCTGGCCTTCAGGTGAGCTTAACCACAGCCCCCAGGGGCCACACGGCTCAGGCCGGCTGGCTCCGTGGAGCGCTCTCCCCTGGCTGAGGCCGATGGGGACCGGAACACAGAGCTGGGCCTTGACCACGAGGCATCACCGACATGAAAGAGTAAAGGGGCACAGACAGGGGCTGTGGGGGTGGAGAAGCGGGGTCCAGGGGCCCAGCCAGGCTTCTGCACTCCCGCACACATCGCCTCTGGCAGCCCTGCCCCGAGACTGTCACAGTTAGAGCCCGGTGTCGCTCGTGCTGCGGGAATGAGGGACCAGCGGCTGCTGATGGAGCACAGGATGGGCGGCGTGGCAGCCCGCCAGAGGGCGGAGCCTGGGCGGAACCAGATGGCCTGCCTGAGACATTTCCAGAGCTCACTGGGTAAGAGATGCCAGCCAGAGCCTGTGGGCTCAGATGACCGGGAGGTGGGCCTGCAGAGCAAGAGGGACGTGGAGGTGGGACCTGAGGTTCTGACAAATTGCACCCCTGGGGGGGCATCTCCTTGGCCGCCTCCTTGAGCCCCACGGCATGCCTTACCTCTCTGTTTCTCCTCAGTTCCCCATGAAGTCTCCTTTTCTTCGGGCCCCCCGGGGCCCTTCCCCTCCCCCAACCCTCGGTGTCACCGTGACCACGCCCACCCCGGCGCTCCCAGAAACCCCGGCCCAAGTTTCTCTGGGATGCGCTAGGTGACTGCCCCCAGATACCATCGAGGGTCTGACGCCGGAAGCACAAGCGACCGATCTAGCGCTCGTCCCCTCCTGTCACACTTAGTCCCACACACCAACCGTGGCGCCTGGCGGGCCACAGCCTCGCACCTGCCCCCCGCTCACCTTCCCTCCCTCCTGTCCTCCGTGCGCGCTTCTTCCTGGGCAGGGGTCTCCCGCTCCCCGCCGCTCTCCGGGCCTTTGCCCAGCTGGTCCCTGTCTCCTCCCCGGCAGCTGTTTCCACCCTTCTGCACTCCGGCAGGGGCACACCGCTGGCTCCCGGGAGCACCCCCATCTTTGCTGGTTCCCTTCCCCCCGGAGCCGGCCCCCCCCATACTGTGCGTGCAGCAGCGGCGCCCTGCTGCCGGTGGCTCCGGGCTGGGTTTCTTGCCCCAGCCTATCTGGCAAGGACTCCAAAGCTTCCCAGGAACCACGGGCCAGAAAGGGAAGCAGCAGGGAGGGGGCATCTCAGCAGTGTCCTTACGAGCAAGGTCACTCCTAGGACAAGCAGAGGCCAGGGCCCCCCAGGGTAAGATAGGCCTGGCGCTGTGCCACACGGCACACACCCGGGCACAGAGCAACGAGCTGCCGGCCTCCGAGGAGGATTTTTCTGAATGCTGGGCTCCCCTGGCACCGGAGCCAGTCTGTACGTCCTGTCTTCGGGGAGAGCAGAAAGCTCGGGGAGCGCCCAGACGCCAGCAAGCCCGCGGCGCGACAGTACGGGCCGGCCCGCCGCCTTCCGCAGCCACCGGGGGGTCTCCTCCTCGGCCCTAGCGCTCCTCTCTCGACCGAATAAATGCCAGACCCACACAGCCCCCTGCCTGGGAGATTCTTTGACGTGAACATGACATTTACGACCTCCAATTCAACGTGCCCCAAATCAGACTCCATTCATGCCTCTTCCCCCGTGTCCCAGCCTCTCCACCCACCACTGGGCTTCCTTTGGGGGATGTGGCACCTTACGAGCCGGTCTTTTCATGAGCTCCTAAGCTCTGTCCTCCTCTAGACCAGGGGTCAGCAAACAGCGGCAGGAGGCCCGACTGGGGACAGTTGAGACCACATACCAGCCCGGTCTCAACTCTCGAGCTCTGCTGGGAGAGCACGGAAACAAACAGCCACCGACAGCGCGGGTGTGGCTGGCTGCCCAGAAGACGACGCTCACCAAAACGTGAATCTGACATCATTTCCACGGATCATTTTCCCCGACAAGTTAAGGACACATAGCCATTCTTAGCTCGTGGGCCGCACGAAAACAGATGGCAGGCCAGATCGGCCCCCAGGGCTGGCGTGCGCTGCGAGCTTCTTGAGGACAAGAGCCTGTGACGAGCAAACACCCCGCCAGGTGCCTGGGAGGAAAAGAGCCTGGTACTTCCAGAGGAACGGCGACAGCGTAGCGCAGCCCACAGCCTTTAGGGCCACAGTCCGTGTTCCAAGACCAACGAAAGGGGGCACGGAGACGACATGGCAGTCACCTCCGGTCATAGTGAGAACCTTCTATCTGAAAAACCCATCAGGGCCCTGATCGCCTATATATCCATAAGGGAAATGCTTGGCGCTCCAGCCGCAGGCTTTAGTCTTTACCGAGAGGAAGTTGGAGGTTTCTCCATCTCCCCAACCCCAGACTGTAAGAGCAACGTCTGTGTTGTGGACTCTCCCTCCACCCTCCCTCAGCCCACAGCGCTGTGGCCCTCCCTGTGTGTCACCCGACCGGAGACACGTACTCACCATCCCACTGATGCATCGGCCGCAGGCGGTTGTTTTAAACTCGCCATGCAGCTCCTTCACGGCGCTGGTGGTGTAGAAGCCCTCGGCCAGCAGAATGATCCCGTACAAGAAGAAGAAGGACGCGATCCCGTAGATGACATACTGCATCAGCTGTATTCTGTGGAAAGGAAGGCGAGATCCAGAAAAGGGAAGCTCACGGCGTGGCGAGGGGAAGATGTTTTCGCCACTGCAGGGAGCACATGAGGGTGGGTGATGTCCGGGACGCCTCGCGCCCCAGCGATGGCTGCCGTGGGCTCACGCGGCATTCCAGGCAGCCTGGGCCTTTCTCCCAAGGTGGGCCCGAGGGTCAGATGGACAACCTCCCGGACAGGGGAGATGTCTGCTTGGTCAGGGGCAGAGGCCCACTGGTCATCGTTGAATATGCACCCCAGTCCTGTGCCGTGAGGGTTAGAACCCTTGTTTCGCGAATAAGTACACACAGGCATTGATTGCAAAGTGAAGTGACGCACCCAAGGACACGCAGTTAGTGGCAGAGCCAGTCCTGAACTCTGACCAAGGACAACACACTTTTTCGGCCATCGCCAAACGCCTCCCAACCAGGCCCAGTGCGTAACATTACCCTCATGAGCCCCTACAGAAACGCTCGGGGCTTCTTTAAGGAGGAAGTTCTGCACTGATGTTCTCGTCACACAAGGAAGCATGGCCGTGGGTATTTTGTTAGGCTTCCTGGACGTTTAAGAGCCATCGATTGGGCTCACTAGCGAGTTAGATCAGGACACCTCACCCAGGGTCAGCTTTGGTAGCTAGTTCTTGGACTTCCTCGCACACAGCTGGCACTCAGGGAGTCCCCTGTCTGGGCTGATGGTCTTTACCACTGCCCCCCGCCCCCCACCCCCGCCCCGCTGCATTTCTTTGGATGTCATTTGCGAACACATTAAACAAATAATAAAATCCCCTAAGGACTCTCCAACGTCATTCCATTATTGTTCAATAAAACTTCTCGCCTTTTGCATCTGGGAGACAAGTTTCTTTGGGTCACAAGATGCCTAAACGTGGTGTGAGACTTGGGGAGTCCAGGAAAGCGAAAGACGGCGCTGAAGGAAGTCGAGTAAAGGGGACTATTTGGAGGGGATGAACACGCTGCTGTTGAGCTCGCGCCGTCACGAGAATCTCTGCAGGGAGCTGCTCAGCCTCCACTGGAAATTCTAGAACGGGCGGCCAGAGACTTGGGTCTCAAGCCCTGAAACGTCCCGTTTGCTGCATCGGAGGACACCCTGGGATTCGTTCTCCTGGAGGAGTAAGCAAACTGGCCCTGCACACTGAGAGTTGGGGCAAGTGCTCAATAGGGTCCCTCGCAGTGTGGGGATGGTCCTTTCCTGCAAAGACTAGGGGGCATCTGCCGCTTGGGAGCTAGGGGAAGCGTCTCTGGCGCGAGCACCTTGCCACCGCCCTACCACGTGCAAAGCTACCGGGTGCGGAGTCCTGTGTGTCCCCCGTGCAGGCTCCAGGGACCAAACCCTCAGTGTCTGCTCGGCCATTTCCTTTTTCCTCCTCTCGTGCGCTTTTTTCTATCTGCCTACAAGTAAGCTTCAAGAAAAGCATCCGTCTTCTGCCAGGAGAGCACACCAGGCTCTTCGAAACGATCACGAGGCAGCTGCGTGTTCAACACGTCTGCAAAGGAAGCGAGTACTTACACCTCACTCAGCAGGGCATGGTCACTGGTGTTGGTGGAGAAGTGTTGCTCGAGAATCGCCACGGTGCCTGCGAGGGCCACGTGCCCACAGCCGCAGAACAAGGCGACCCCAGAGAAGCAGAGGATGGTGGCCACCAGAGAGGCATAGGGGACTCCTCCCAGACACTTGATGCAGCATTCAAAGCAGCCTGGACCCAAAGGAGAGAAAACGCAGTGGTTACGGGCACGATGCCTCTGTCTTCATCACCACCGCGCCTCCGCAGAGACGCTCTACCTTGCCGTCTCCCCTCGCATGCTCTGTGCCCAACGGCTCAACGTGCCCAGGGCCAGTCGGGTCGTCTCCCACTCTGTGGTCAGCACCCTGGGGGTCTGAGGGGGGAACGTAGCCCAATTTACTCGGGGTGAGCAGCAGAGCAACCAACTGACAAATATTCTGAAATAAGTCCCAATCCTAGAACTTCCTCACTGACCTGGGGCTGGGGGGCACTCATTCCACTAATGAGCTCAGAAGAGAGGGCAGCTGTGAAGCTATAGTTCCATGAAGAATAGTCACCGCCCCCAACCTGAACTTTTGGGGGGTTCAAGTGGCTCTCTCTCTGCAGCAGCCAACAGCTTTCTCCCAGCCTTTGACCTCCTGGGTCACCAGAAGCAGCAGACACAGTAATCACACTGTTGCTGCATTCAGAAAGAGGTCAGTGTGGTCGTTTGGGAAAGGCCCTGGGGATTCTGGGTCCCCAACAAGTACAAAGTCACCCACATCCACTCAAGTGGGTCCACTCAGGTTTCATTCAAGTCACTCTCAAACGCCCTCAACTTTTTAATACCAATGCCACCCCAGCCCAGACAAGGCCAACGCTTTATTCCTCTTCCCACCCTCCCCCACTTCCACCTGCCTCCTTCCCCAGTACAGGTGTTCAGAGTCAGATCCAGAACTGGTGGGTGACATTTAAGTACTTGAAGGAAAAGGAACAGAGGAAAAAAACAGAAAAGACAAAATGAGCGTCCATGAAGTGAAATGAAGGAGAAAGAGCCACAATGCATGGTTCATCTGAAGAAGAGTTTTCTTCACTTAAAAAAAAAAAAGCAAAAACAAAACAAAACAAAAAATACAACTTTTACTTGAGATGTCCAGAAAACTCTTCCCAAGGGGCAGCGCCAGGTGACATTTTCAGTTCGGAGACATTTACGTTTCAGTTAAAGCAGTGCTGGCCTCGGGGGAATGTGGGTACCTCTCCTGACCTGCTATCCCTGTTATTATTATCCAGGCCTTTAAGTAACTGGCTCGTCAGGGAAATTGAACTCTGAAGGCATTAGGATGTTTAACAGCAATCAAGAGCGGTTCCTTGCTTCAAGGCGAGCACTGATTAAGCCGGCTAATGTTCCCCCCCAATCAGTCTTTATAGTGGACGAGGAAGGACTACCCAGCATAAAGCGCTGAACAGGACTTTTCTGTTTGGGGGAACGTCTCATTCAAAAGCAGCATTTGCCTGGGGCGCCCGGGTGGCTCAGTGGGTTAAGCGTCCAACTTCAGATCGGGTCATGATCGCATGGTTCGTTCGAGCCCCACACGTCGGGCTCTGTGCTAGCAGCGCAGAGCCCACTTTGGATCCTCTGTCCCCTCTCTCTGCCCCTCCCCCACTTGTGCGCGCTCAAAAAATACACATTAAAAAAAAAAGCAATTGCCTAAACCCACCCCAAAAAGGGACTATAAATCCTCGTTACCAGCTGTCTCTTCAGTTCACTGGAAAATAAGAATGGTCAGGGCTTCATAAGCAAGTGTGCTTTCTTTTCTGTCAAAAGATGGCTGGCAGGTGTCACGAAGAACCACCTCCCAGAAATGGATCACAAGGCTAGTACAATGGGAACCGGCACACAGTACAGTTCAAGTTCACTAGTAAGGCGGTACCTTCAAGAGCTTTGGACACTTGAGATTTGGGAGCAAGGACGACGGAGTTTCGTCTTATTCTGTCATACAACTTTCTGGGGAATGAGGGGAGAAGAGGGCAACTGGAGGTTCCAAATGGTCTCCAGAAACCCCCCCCCCAACTCCTAAGCAAGAGAAACTATGATCCTCAGCCTCGTGGCCCCTTACATAAAGAGCAAGCAGACCCGTGTGTCATAGCTGTCATTCACTGAGTCTCCCGTCCTCAGCCTGTGGGGCGGTGTGCAGAACAAGGTGAATGCCAGCTTTCTGCCTAATGAAGTGGTGGCTGCTCCTCACCGGACACACGGCCCCGTGCTTGCTTTAATGCTCTGTTACTGCCATCTTGAAGTTCAGCAACCCACCTCTGCAGAGGGACTGGCCGGGTGCTTGAAAGAATGACTTTTCCCTTCCCTCTGAAGGGAGGGGCAGTTCCCACCGTCCTGACCATCAGACTCAAGGCTCAGAGTTCTCCTCGACTAGGGGCAGGCAGACTACGGCCTGGGTTTTTTGTAAACAAAGTTTTAGTGGAACGCGGCCGTACTCATCCGCTGACAAGCTTTGGCTACTTCTGCCCCACGATGACACAGCCAAGGAGCCCAGACAGGGAGCACGGGGCTTACAAAGCCTGCAACGTTCACTAAGCATTTACAGAAGGGCTCTGCCGACCTGACCCGGGACGCAGCGGTGCCGAGAGGGAGTTCCCAGCACCAGCGGCATCACCTCTCAACAGACTACAAAGTGCCAGTTCCTGCGTCTCGCCCCAGAGCTCCCCAAGCAGAAACTCTGGGGGTAGACCCGGGGACCCGAGTTCAGCAAGCCTTTTGGGGAAGCGCCATGTACGCCCCAGCTGGAGAGTCACGCAAGCTCTTCACTCGGTCAGCTCCACCTGTTTCCCTTTAAGACCAGCCAAACTCCAGCACAATAAAAACCCAGCTCCACAAGAGGATTCCTGGCTCCTGGCCAAGACAGAGTACCGGGGAGCGGATTTATTCTCCTGCCTGAAACAATTAAGAAACCGGACAAAACATATGAAACAACAGTCTTCAAGACATTAGACAGCAGGCTATGAGGAACCATCCGCGGCTTATGAGTCAATTGTTAAAATAAATGCTCAACACAACCAAAGAAGCGGTGCTCGCTCAAAAAAGAGAAACTCTTCCCCAGAGCCTTGCTCTAATCTCCGTCACTGCGGTCCCTTAAAGGCCTTGTTTAACTGAAGCTGTCGGTTAAGCGGATTAACAGCGGCACTGGGAGGGAGGCAGGGAGGGGCCGGCCCCTCATTTGTTCCATCTCATTCCATCAGTGACTGTTCAATGCTCACCAGGTGTCTCCAACGTCCCACGCACAGGGCTGGTGGCCTAAGATGGGCACGATGCACCCTCTGATGGGGTTTACGGCCTGTGGGGGGAGAGCGACATCAACCAAATGGTCTACCCCAGAAATGCTAGGGGAGCAGACAATGCGGATGTCCTAAAGCTTGGGGTGCGGCGCAGCGATGGCTTCCAGAAATACAAAGGATGGATTTGAATTCCCTCAGTAAAGGGAGAGGATAGGTGAGGGAGGGTGCTCCAGGAAGCAGGCAGATGGCGAACAAAAGCTCTGTGGTGGAAAAGAGCAGGGTGCTTTCCCAGGGATGAAAGAAGCCAGAACACAGAGCCTGGAGAGGGCAGGGTAAGGAAGGCAGGAGGGGTCTACCGGAGCTTGACCCCTTAGGGCTTTCCAGGCTGCGTTAAAGACTCTGGATTCTCAGAATCATGTGAGGCCATCGAGCATTTTTATCCATAGGCAACAGGTTGGGGTTGTAACCAATCACTCTGGCTGCTGTGACAGGCCCACAGTGGACGTGGAGACCATTAGGTGCCCAGTGTAATAACTGAGGCAGCCCGATCAGGACAGAGGCCACGGAGGCAGAAGACGTGGTCACAGAGGTGGTTAAGATGCCAAATGGGCACAACTTGGTGTGGATTTGGTGGGCTGGGGACAGACTGGGGAGTGGCATGGAGGACTCCGTAACGTCTGGCATGTGTAACTATACGGGCCCTGTGCCCCTCCAGCCAGGGTTGACTGGAGGAGGGCGAGGCTTTGAGAGCACACAGGAGTTCAGTTTTAGACATGCTGAGTTTGAGGCGACTGGATATCACCTCAAGGGAGGCTTTCTGGGGGCCGATCGGATTCGTGGGTCTGTAAAGAGCTAAAGCTGGACGCCATCAGCTTCTGCTGGATGGCAACGAGAACTTTCTGAGGCCAACAAGAGACATGAGTGGACCACTTACCAGCTGAAAGGGACTTGGACCCTTTGCTTTGCAAAGCGGGGTCCTTGCATGAGCAACATGGACTCCAGGAGGGAGCGTGGGAGAAACACACTCTCGCCCCAGCCCCACCCAAGGCCAGCAAGCCCCTAGGGGATCTGTGTGCCGGAGAGTTTGAGAAGCCCATTTCTGCAAACAGTCCCATCTCCCCCATCCTGGGGGGTGGGGTGCATCCTGAACCCAGCCCAGGGGCCCGCTTTTGTACTCGATCCGTGTTTGAGGTTTTCTCCCTAAGAGGCAGCCCGGTGGACTTGGCCATAACGCTCTAGCCACTTGCCGATCAAGTGGAAGTTCCAGGGTCTGCAACGAAGCAAAACAGAATGTTCCAAGTTGTTCAGTTGTCTCCAAAGGAGTACAACTCCTTTGTTACAACTCTACCCAAGTACCGCCCGCTTCAGAGATGCTGGCAAAGACACTTCGGTGGCGCACCAAAGTGGGGCCGCGGAAAGCCCGCTCCACGGTCCCCGCGGCCGCGGTGCCCAGGGTGCCTCTACAGACAGAGGGGCTGGGTCTGTGACTCGGGCTGTCCCCACTGTGAAGAGTCAGTCGGGGCCGATGTTTCCAAACACGGAGGTGGCGCAGAGGACTGGCAGAGCACCCCGCTGTCAGAAGTTTCTGCTAGCTAAGGGAGAGGCATGCTTTCCTTGGGTCGTCCCGCACATGCACAGACTGAGTTTTCCCAAGCTTCACACCAGCGATGGCGGTGGTTACCACAGACCAGAAAAAGCCAGGAAAGCATTTTCTGGTGACTGATCTGCTCATGTAAAAAGGGAAAAAAGAAAAAAAAAAAAAATCAACGCTAGGGTTTCTAGCACGTTTTACTAGTAATGGTCAGTCGCTCTCACCAAACCCCCAAAAACCTCTGTTAGGTTAGTAACGTCTTATGCCTTCATGTAACCAGGCTCTGGCTAAAGAGATTTTTAGATTTTGATTCACACAAAAACTCCAGTGTGCG